TCCGCTTTAGCTTTCTGCCACTTATTGCCTTAAAGGTCTTATGGGGCTATACACTACGCGCTTCTGTTTTGAACTAATATTTTACTGAGTTTTCTTGAGTTTAGTGCTTGTTTTGTAAAAAAAGTTTTTGCTCCGGTATTGGTTTTGGTGATCAGCGGAAAGAGTGTGTGTAAAAAAAATGTACAGAACTTCTTAATTGACAAGAATTTTATAATAATATACTTAAAATCTTTAGAGATCGAATACTGAAGTAGTTTATTGAAATACAAAAGCTTATCAGATCAATAGCAAATTCTACAACTTTATTTATCTATCTAAACTTATTTACTTTAACAAAATAAATACTAAAAAAAAGATCTTAGATCCTTACTTATGAATTTATAATAGGAAAAACTAATTACTTTGATGAATATTCAACAACTATTTATTATTATACTTATTTAATTAATAATACACTTTATCTATACCTAGGATATACAAAAAAAGATTCAAATCAAAAACAAAAGGATACTATTTCAAATATGAAATTAAAAAATTATATATTTTACAAGTAGATTCGAAAAAAAAACTATATGCTAATTTTGATAATTTGCTTTTAGCCAAATCATTTACAAACAAAATAAAACAGAAAGCAATAATATCTAACACCTAACTTAGCTATCTATTGAATACCTTCTTTCTATTCAATATCAATCTATAGAACTCATTAATAGCAAACAACTCTTCTTTTCATATCTCTTCAATTTTTATATCATCATATTCTTACTTACCCTACTGCAACAACAAATCACTTTTTTTAATAATAATACAACAACATGGGGTTGCTATAATAGTAGCTAGCCTAATAGCACTTAAGTATGTCTAACACTATTTGCATTTCTAGCTACAACCTTTTTTCTAAATACAAATATTTTAATTACTTCAAATGACTCCTCATTTATTCAAATCTTAGAGAATATTACAAAAATATCTATATATATACTAGTCTTCTTAGACAAATTTTATTATACTTTTATATTACTTATAATCAAAACAATAATAATACTACTTAATCTTTCTTTCAATATTGATAAAGATCTAAAACATATAGAAAAACCTGATAACATCTTGAAACTTAATATCAAACCTCAAGAATTTCTTTTCAATCGATTTATTCTTTGTCTACTATTATTACTCTATATATATCATCTTCAAATTATCATAAAAGATAACTTTAAAATCATCAACAATCTAAAATAAGCAAACTAAAATCGAATCTAATATTAGACAAAGAATATAAGAAATATTCAATAACCTAATACCTTACTATATATATTATTTGAAAAAAGACTATTATCTTTACAGACTAACCTCACTTACTCTAAATTAAAAAACTTCAAAGTCAAATTACTAGCAGAAAAACTCTTTAACTACCTTATATTATATTATTGCAATCCTAATAAATACAAAAATTATTTTTGCCTTTGATACCTCAAGGAGCCAAAAAATAATATACATCTAATCTCATATATCTGAAACTCTACAACAATAAACTCTATAATCTGAGATACTATTTTAATAACTTCTCAAGAATTAGACCTTATAACAACTAATACAACAGACTTTATTTCAACTTTCAAATATCTTCATATCTAACTAGAAGTTCTACTTGAAATAATCATCTCAGTGACTCTAACTCCATTTAACAGATATTCAAACAAAATTAAATATGTACCACTAATACACCACTTAATTATAAAATCAATATATCACGAAATTTGATTATCTTTATGATAAATTATATATATGTCAGATTTTCTTATTCCAACTTTACTTATAGTAACACTCCTATCTTATACAATCCTGTTCTCATATTCACATATTATAAACAAATTACAACAATATATAAATATTGGACACAATTTTCTTTTACTAATATACAAAAACTAATGGTTTCAACCTTGCTAATATAGTTTAGGTTGAGAGTAAATTAGTTTTTACCTCTACTTTCCTTTTTTCTTTTAACTGTATATATGTTGTTTCTACATGTATTATCTTATTTGAATTAAATAAAGAGTTAGAGGATAGACCTCGTTGTTAAAAAAAAAAAATAACCAGTGGTGATTATCACCGGTATATAATTAGCCAATAACGATAAAACAATAAAAAGATTTTATTTCATTAACTTTAGGGTTAGGACGAAACCTAGGATTTTAACAAGGTGCTATATATATTCAAATTTTAGCAAGGAATTTTTTTGTTAGAACGTCGAAGGTGGTTTCATAGGCGAATTCTTGCATTTTCTTAAAAAAAAATCAATTTGCACGTTACACCTGATCTTGCAAATTTATTGGCTAATTACATACCGGTGATGATCACCACCGGTTATAGTTATCAATATTCTTTTTTTTATTAAACGAATACAAAGTAGTCAATTTCATAATTGAACTCCAACTTATAACTTTACTACTAAACATAATAATAATCTCTTAATAATAATGCAAGATTAGTTTATTTAAATATTTGATACATAATAAACAATAATAAATTTATGAATATAAAAAAATCAGTACTATAAGAAAGAATAATAAAATCGAATCGAATAATCATTTATAAATATAATATATTACATCATTCAATCAATTTAATGATCCACTAAAAAAAAGAATTTATAAAAACATTTCATATAACACATATAGTAAGTAAGAAAATTTATGTAAAGATAAAATATAATATATATATTTTAAATATACCTTATTATTCTCATTACTACCATTTTTACGGCAGCAAACCTCTTGGCTTCCGTCGTCTAATAAGATGGGATGGCTGTAAAGTGCCGGTTTACCAGTTCTTATATGAAAAAGACTAATGACATCTTCATTAATCAAATAAGAGTCATCGTCATCCTTTAAATAAGAGTCATCATCAAAATAAGATTCTTCATCATCAATTAAATAAGAATCTTCGTCATCAATTAAGTAAGGGTTTTCAACACAACTATATAGATGCATTAGGGTTAAAACGTCGAATTAACCAATCATCATCAGCATTTTTACTCTTACAAGCGTCACTAAAGTAATTAACGTTAATAAACTTTCTGTTTTATAAACTTAAAATTTTCAAAAAAAAAAAAAGAAAATTGCTTAATTTACACTAGGTGTTTGTACACTGGTATTATTTTTTAATTTATGTAAATCGAAATTAAACTAATTTTTATAAAAAATAAAGCCTGATTAAGATTAGAGTAGGGTGAGGCCTGGATTTTATCTAGGCATTAGATATATGCAAAATTTAGCAAAGAATTTTTTTTTATTAAAGCCCCAAAAGCAGTTGCATAGGCGAAATTTTGAGATATTGATTATACGTGTATGCGTACACTAGTGTACAAATAGAAATTCTCAAAAAAAAATTATATACAAAATAAATACCTTGTTGATACTTTGATTTGGATGTGACTCCAGAACCCGTACCATGAGAACGCCCATACTTTGATATAAAACCTCCCATATTTACGTCTTCATCATGAGCTCCAACGATTGTCTAAACATCATTTATCGAATCCATTTCTTGACCACTGCAAATAACCTTTATATATTTTGTAATTTTTTTTGATGTGATTAAAAAATATGGATAAAAGATATAAGCCACCTTTACATTATATTATACCTTACATTGCTATAATTATTTAATTACCTTCGAATGGGATCATAAGTTACGAGATACGAGAACTCTCCCAAAAATATATTTAAAATAAAAACAAATTAACCTTAGATCATTATAGAAATCATTAACCTTAGATCATTATAGAAATATTGCAAAAAAAAAAATAGAATTGCCACTGCGTGGACGGTTAGACCGGAAAAAATCCGTCAATGAAATCAAAGCTCACGTAGGCCATAACCGCGTCGAAAATGTGCAAGCAAGAACAGGTGTTTAGGCTGGAGATTGACATTTCTTACTACACAAAATGCTGTTCATCTTCTAGAGTTTGAAACCGGATGAGATTTCCTGTAGTGTTCCGTGGATAAATAAGCTTAGCCAAAATTAGATATAAAAGACTCATTAATGAATTAAATGTAGTGCATAAAATACCTGAAATACACGAGTTCTAGTCTATGTTATTTCCCAAGGTGTCAAATTTGCACGGTTTCAAACACTAGTCAGATGAAAGAATGGCCAGTTCTCATTCAGCATGGGCTACTTACCGCGTGAGCTGTGCCTCAGAGTGTGCAAGCGATGATTGACACCTAGAAACACGGCTTTTATATCCAAGTGTCACTGCTATGGATTAAAATGTGCAAGCAAGAACGGGTGTTTAAGCCGGAGATTGACACTTTGAAATGCAGCCTGGGCATGCGCGCAGGAGGGTTAGCCACGGACCTCATTATCTGCACGGACACAGTTGTTTGGTGTGTGAGGACGTAGCCTGTCTAGTTTTAATAAGAAAATTTTCGTTGGTTTATTTAGAATAGAAACAGCCCATTTTTATATCATTTGTTTTGATTTTCGGACTGATCCGGGATTAATCAAATTTCACGATTTTGATTGGTTAAAGGTTGTAGGTAGGACCTCCAGGGGAGACCGTCCCAAATAAGGAAATTGATATTCCGACCTTGCATATCTTTTTAACACGAATGTTGAAGTAATGTCACATGAAAATCAGCCAAAAAATAAAAAAAATAAAATAAGCAAAATCGAAGCAAAAATTTATATCCAAAGTTCAAAGATAAGTCTCGATAAACATTGTCACAAAGTAAA